TAAAGTATGTAGAAACGTACGCCTTTCTAGACCCGGGAAGCACGGCAAGATTCTGTACGGAAGACCTGCAAAAGAAATTGAATGTGCAAGGGAAACCAACCAAAATACGTCTCAGCACCATGGGTCAGGATGCACCAGAAAACCAGAAGCTCATGGATAGTCTGGTTATATCAGAGCTCCAAGTGTGTGGGCTGGAGGACAGTATGTACGTCGAGTTGCCCAAGGTGTTTACTCACAGCAGCATACCTGTTCATGCCGGAAACATACCCAAGCAGTCTGATATCCAACAGTGGCCTTACCTAAGAGAAGTGAACTTGCCAGAATTAAAAGCTGATGTAGGCCTACTTATTGGAGCAAACTGTTCAAAAGCGATGAAGCCCTGGCGCATCATTAACGGCCAGGATAGAGGTCCTTACGCCATCAAGACGACCATAGGTTGGGTTGTGAGTGGACCTGTAAGGAGAAATGAAGTGGAGAATGAAACATCTAACTCATTCGTGAACAGAATCTCATTGGTGGAGATAGAGAACCTGTTGACCCAACAGTACAACACTGACTTCCCAGAACGCAATTATGAGGACAAGGAAGAGCTGTCTCAAGAAGACACTCCGTAATGAGAAGCTCCAGATGCCTAACAATCGTAGTGTGGTAGAGCAACGCATTGCGTCTTTGGAAAGGAAGTTCAGGAAGAGTCCTGAGTTCTTTGAAGATTACAAGAACTTCATGGAAGCAATCATTACCAAGGGCTATGCAGTTCGGGTTCCAACAAACCAACTGACCAGAGAGGACAACAGGGTGTTCTATTTACCGCACCATGGAGTCTATCACCCGAAAAAGAAGAAGCTTCAGGTGGTATTTGACTGCACATCCTCCTACCAGGATCGGTGTCTGAATAGTGAGTTGCTCCAGGTGCCCGACCTGACCAACACATTGGTTGGTGTCCTCCTCAGATTCCGGGAGGAGCCTGTAGCAATAATAGCAGACATTGAGTCAATTTTCTTCCAAGTTAATGTGCCAGAACATGATGCAGACTTACTCTGCTTTCTTTGGTGGCCCAACGGCAGATTAGACGAGCCAATAGAGGAATTCAGAATGGGAGTGCATCTTTTTGGAGCCACTTCTTCTCCAAGTGTGGCCTCATATGCACTGAGAAGAACTGCGGAGGATCACAGGGACACTGTATCTCCAGACACAGTTCAGACAGTCCTGCGCCATTTCTATGTAGACGACTGGCTGAAATGTGTAGCCACAGAAAACGATGCAGTGAGACTGGTCAAGGAACTTCAAACTTTGTGTAGCAGTGGAGGGTTCACCTTAACGAAATGGATGAGCAACAGCAGAAAAGTGTTAACGTCAATCCCTGCAGAGCACAGAGCCACTGAAGTCAGAGACCTGAATTTACGACACGACACTCTACCAGTGGAAAGAACACTTGGTATACAGTGGGACACAGAATCGGATACCTTCCTGTACAAAATAGAGCTGCAAAACAAGCCAGTGACCAGAAGAGGTATCTTGTCAATCGTCAATTCCATCTACGATCCTCTTGGCTTTCTGGCGCTGGTTATTTTGCCTGCTAAACTTTTGTTGAAAGATCTCTGTAAGGAACATCTTGACTGGAATGAAAAACTTGATGGAAAGCATGCTGAAGAGTGGAGCAGATGTCACCTACCTCTCCAACTTCCATGTGAGTAGATGTTTGAAACCCATCAACTTTGGATGCACTAC